TTATGTGTGTGTGTGGGGGGGGGGGGCGGGGCAGGGATGCTGGGGATTGAACCCAGGGCCTTGTACATGCAAGACATGCACTCTACCAACTGAGCTATATCCCCTTTTGATCATAAATGTTCAGGCTCAGTTATTTCATCACAGTAATGAAAAATGGCCTAATACAGTACACTTCTTAAAAGCATGATCTACACCTTGGCTATAACACATTCTTTTACCCTGAACACTAAATTGCCTCTTCCTCATCTTCTAGTGGCCTTTTTTCAAGTCCCATTCCCCCATCCCCTTTCTTGAAGAATTTGGCACCATTGCCCAGAAACCCCAAACCTTGTTTTAGAAATGCCCTCATTGGTTCCCAAGATACTTACATCATTCTATTTTTCTCTCTTTGGTTCTTCCTTCTTTACATCCATCACGGGTTCCCTTGTCTTCTTCCTCCTGTTTGCTAAAAGGGGGCATCCGTCCTAGGTCTCATGCTCTTTATGTTCTCCAAACTCTTCCCTTACACAGATAACTCCCATGTTATCTCTCCTTCCCACTTCCCTAATCTTGTAGACCAGACGAACTCAACATTCTCACTTGGTATTATTATTTAGATATGAGGTATCCCCCAAAGCTCATGTGAAAGACAATTCAAGAAAGTTTAGGGGTGAAATGATTGGGTTATGACAGCCTTAAACTCACAGTGAATTAATCCACTTGAATGAATTGACTGGGTGATATCTGTAGGCAGATAGGGTGTGGCTGAAGGAGGTGGGTCTCTGGGGGGTGAGCCTTCTAGGTACATATTTTGTCCCTGGTGAGCTGAGCTTAGTCTCTCTCTGCTTCCTGGCAGCCATGTCCTGAGCCACTTTCCTCCTCCACATCATTCTGCCCTTATGTTCTGCCTCACATGGGCTCAGAGCAATGGAGTCAGCCAACTATGGACTGAGACCTCTGAAACTGTGAGCCTCAAATAAACTTGTCCTCTTCTAAAATTGTTTTTGTCAAGTCTTTTGATCACAGCAGTGAAAAAGCTGACCAAAACACTTGGCCATGCACATCAAATTTCAACCAAACTTCTTTCAAAACCAGAGTCTACACTGCAGGTGGTTTCATGGCAGATTGAAATTAGGCTGGTACTGTCAGATTAAAATCAGGCTGGTACTGTCAGCCCATCTCAAAAACTGACTCATCCATAATATTTGTTTTCTTTATCCCACTAATCTCTGAGCCTCCAAAGTGCTTTGTTCAAACTTTCATTGGATGGCAGTTACCATAGGCTGAGAGGCTCATAGTGTTTTGTGTCATAATCTTATTACTTAATAACTTTGTAACCTTTGTGCCTTACTCATCTGTAAAATTGAAACTTCATTTTAGGATGATCATGAGAATTAAATCAATTTATATACTTAAAGTGTTTAAAACAGTGTCTGGAACAAAATAACCAATTCCATAAATGTGGTGGTATCTCTATACTGTGAAACCCCTAAAAGTGAAGACAGCATTTCACTCCTCTTGGAATCTCCTGCAGCACCTACCATGGCAATTTTCATGTAATAGATGCTTAAGTTATTGTTGAAAAGGATAACAGAAAAGATGCATGTGTTCAGAATTTTTTCTAAAAAGTCTTCTGCAGTTTAGGCTTTATTAGGGGAACACACTCACACACATACACACACACATACACACACACACATATTCCAGGGAAAAATTTACCTTCTTCACGATCTGCTGCACAACTTTTATATCTAAGCTAGTGTGACAAGAGTCAATCCACCCCATTTTTTAAAATCCTGAAGGACACTTTGAATCATCAGATTAAATTATACATAATGTTTGGTTTAAGTGTGAATTTTATTACACCAGAATTATTGTTTAATTACTATTTTTAAAAGGGTAACTCTTGATTAACTGTGATTTCCGTTCATGAGAGCTCCTGATCCTCAGCTCTGCTGGTAAATGAACTTCTGGAGTAAAGGAATGAACTGGCACATGGCTTCACTGTTAGGGTTTCTTTTCTGTTGCAGTGTGGATATGTGTTCTGGGTCAGGAGGAATGTCTACATAAAAGTAAGCCATTACATAAAGCTCTTTAAGATTTATGCATTTTCTTGTATGCCTCTATCATAGCAGGATTGTTATGTAATGCCTGGATTTAAGCACTTCTGCCTCTAACCACAAAGGTCAAAGCAACAAAATTGTGTTTAGAAAGATACTTCATCCCCTGTAGTTAAGCCCTTGGACTTCTTTGTGTTCTTTCAATAAATGTTCACTGGCAGTTAATATGCTTTAGTGAGTTTCTATTACCAGTAATCAAATAGTCTTGTTGAGGTAGCATTGTTCTTGAGCTAGAGAGACTACAGCGGAGGGGCAAAGAAACACTGGAAAGGCAGTGTTGCTCAGTGGAAAGAGCCCAGGCTTCGAAATCAAACAGGGATCCAAGTCCTTGTTTTATCATTTACTAGCTGTGTAAACATGTTGAGATTGAGACTTTTCATGTGGACAACAAAAGTATTAATCCCGTAGGATTTTGAAATTCTGATTAGAAATAATGTTTATAAAAAGAACACAGTACTTTCTGTCTGGCTCAAAGATGCTATATTATTCCTAAGAGTTCTCATTTCAATAGCCTAAAAATAACCTTATTGATTAATAAATCCAGTCGCTGAATCAAGAATTAATCAATTGGTTGGATGCACCTCATATATCACCTAATTTAGGATTTAAAGAACAATATTTAAAAACAAGACAATTTTTTGTAAACATGGGGGGAAAGTAGGTACATTTTATCCACAAAAAGCTTTAAGAGGCCTGGAGAAAATTCCTCTAGTATAGTGTCATTCTTACCCATGGAGTTTAAAGATTCAACCATAAATGGAAAGCTCAGATGGATTCATGCAGATAACCTAACAGAATGTAATAGAATCTGGGGAGAAAGCTCTATCTATTCTATTGGGAATGCATTTTGTGGTATCAAGCATTTGATGTTCTTTTTTAACTACAGGAAGCAAAGAAAAAAACACAAGTTATATTCTATCAAGCAAAAAGTAAGACAGGATCTGCTACTGAGAGATTATAGTGTGGTAAATTCTCTTGTAATTTTAGAGCATTTTAAACATATTTATTGAACAGAATGAGTACAGCAGAATTTCTAAGTATTTTGATGAATTCCACATAAAACAAAAATTATAATACTACCTATCTGATAGTGACCTCAGTCTAGGTGCATCATATTCATTGGACAATTTGTCCTTCTATGACACTGAGTTACGTGCTGAGGTGCTATATTTGTCCTCACTGTGTATCAGAAAGAAAATATAGATCAATTAGTAGTTTCTAAATATATGCCCTGGTGGAGAAAAAAAATAACCATATTAATTTCAATGGAAACATTTCATTTTTAGTGTTGTAAGTGACCTTTTGAATATGGTGCCTGCAACAATTTTCTGTGATAGTTGAGAGGACATGAAGAAGCTATTTATTACCTGGGATTTCTCCCCTCCCTCACACAGTGCTGTCTGCCTCCTTTCTCTGGGAAGGAATTACCATTGGGTACCAGTGGGAAAAAAATCACAGGAGGCCCCCCTACACAATGCTCCCTCCTCTATCAAACAGGGATCTATACACACTCCTTCCTCTTGTCCCCTTACCATCTCTAGCGAGGGTAGAGATTCCTATTCTTGATAGGTCATAGGCATTGGGTCATTTCTGGTTAGTTTTCCTAAACACTGCTACACTTTAAAATTAAACTCTCCTTAATTACCCTTTTGAGGCTGCTGTTTCCTGCTGGGCTCTGATTGAGAGAATGCGTTCACAAAATTATTAATGGAAAAAAAATTTTGTTGCTTTTTAAGGATAGTACCTAAAACAAACTCTATTTTAAAAGTGTAGTCTAATAGAATTATTATAGGTGGTAGGTTTTGATGAATAAACAGGTCTTATCACTGTTTGCTGCTGTAAATAAGGTCCATTGGCTTTAGAATTTAAAAGAACTGAATTGAAATTCACTCCTCATCACTCTCCTGTCCTGCATGGTACAGACGGTTATTTGGTCCAAACCAGATGACAGCAAAACGTGGATCTTCTCTGTGCTCTTTCTTCAGTTTTCTTTAGGGAAGAAGAATGTGTTAGGACAGGGGACTGAGAAGGCCTGTCCTAACCCCAGACCACCACTACTCTGATTCCTGTGTTGAAAGCTATGTCCAGTGCAGGGATAAGGTGGGTAACATCTTTGGGTGCCAGTTGGGTAGAAATCATAGGAAACCTCTTTTAATCTAGTTAGCATTGACACACAGCCATCATCCCTCTACCCCAAAACCAAGATGGGAATTCATTGGTGTAACCTTCACACTACTTTGTGTGAAAGATTAACTCCATAAATGCTGATTAAGCCCAAGTATTCAATTGGTACAGAGACAGCTTTTTACAAGGGATTATTACTTTTTTTCTTCCAATACTTTTCCCCTTCCTATTTCTACTGCCTTCATTCACTTCTACCTCTTTGTCTTTGACTTTCATTTTTTACACTGAGACAAAATACACAACCAGACTTTTACAAAAAGCAGAGAACAACCATTAGAAGACTTAGCATGATGAGGGTAGGAACTGTCATCTCTTGACTCACAGCCCTATTCTTAGTGGTTGGTACACAGTAGGTGCTCAATCACTAATTACCAAAAGAGTGAGTTTTTAACAATTATCATTGTTTTATGCCAGTGTTGGGCTGCATACAATTATAAAGAGTTCAAGTAAGGATTTATATCATTTTCAAGTTTTGAAAAACGAAACTATCTTTACCAACCTCACAGATTTCTAATGCAAGATGAAGAGTGTTCCTTGCTACTCCTTATATATTAATAACCTAAGAGGCACATAAACTAGGCTAGGGTTGGATCCTGTAGCCCTGGGGGAAGGAGCAAGGTGAGTACTTGATCTCAGTCCTCCTGGCACATTTTCAGGTAACCCCATCTCTTACCACTTTTGCATTTCCTGGTAAAATCATGACAAGACAGGGAACGCTTTCTACATTTAGTAACATTTATTTATGCATTCAGTATCAAGTACATAAGTGCAAATATCCAGAGTCCATAATTAAGTCCATTAGGAACTACAGAGAAAGTAATACAAATTGTAATAAATTTAACATGCTGGTACTTTTAGTTACCATACATGTAAATCAGCCCATCAATCCCAGACAACAAAAGTACTGCATGTTCATTTTGGATTTATTCATTTATTTAATTATTTTAAGTTATACAAAACTGATTACCATAAGTACAGTCAACTGTTTTTTTTTTTATTTTTATGTAGTGTGTGTGTGTGTTGGAAAAATGCTAAAACATCAGTCTACAATTCTATATAATGTTATTAAAGATTAATCCAACCAGCAACCCAAGGACATATAAGCAATTTCCACTATTGTGTCAATGCACTCGGCAGGAAAGGCCTAGCCACAGGGGGACTTTAGAAGCTACAGAAGCATGGCAGAGAAGAGGAGAACACTGAAGAAGGAAGGAGAACGTGGGCTCTCACCATCATGCACTTTTTTTTTTTAGCAACACAAAATTAAAAACCACATCTAATACACTTTTTTTCTATACTTTAGTGCTTGACACAAGTGACTCAAATATCCTAAGAGTAAAGGAACAGCCTAAAAACAGCTGTTTTAAAGTTTGCCTCTAAGAGTATGGTATTGGGTGGGGGGAACAATCAATTTGCAGTAACGAGTAAGAAGAGAGCTGTCGCCTCTCCAGACATCCCTGTTTGTGTCCAGTCCCCGCTGGGATACCTGTCTACTCAGCATGTCTTTTGGCGCCGGGGATTTTAGCTTGAATCCTAAAAACAAAACAAAACAAAAACTAAAGGGTTAAATTGTAAATGTTATTCATGAAATCATTTTATGTATCCATTCTGTTCCTTTAATTAGCATAATATTAATTAGTATAAGATGCTGGAAGATATTATGGTTTGTATGTGTGTGTCTATAAACACTCTTCTTTATAAAAAGCAATAAGAAGGAAATAAAAATTGGATATTGAGTGACCCAAGGAAGCTACATTCTTTACAGTATAAATTTTTAGGTGGATGAACATGTCGACTTATTTCAGGACTATAGAAATGGAGCTGTGAAACAATGACAATAGCCATTGATCCCCTAATTGGGGGCACTTCCGAAAGAGAAAGGATGGTGCAGTTACTACCTGTGCCAGGAGGATGATAAACAGAGATGGTTCCAGGTGAAGGAACCTGTATGTCTCTTCAGTGTGGCCAAACTACTCAGAACTGGATTTCAGAAACCTGGATCCCCACCGAAGCTGGCCCTAGAGATTCATCTTTAATATGTGGAGTACCGAGCAGACCATCACCAAGGCTCCCATGATTCTGTGATGCTCACAGTGTGGTTGTGTCATTTTAAGATAGGTTTACACCAGAAGTGTTTTGTTTCATAAATTGAAGCTTAATGAGTTTACCATGCAGAGTTTAATTGAGACCTTCCTCTCTAACCCTTCCACATTCTGGAATTCAGTGGTCAACAAAAAGAAGAAGGTACCTGCTCTCATGGAGTTTTCATTCTTGTAGGGGTTGAGAAGAGAGAAACAAGTAGACAAGAGAAAGTGACAAACGCTATAAAACAAAACAAGGTGGTATGAAAGGAAGTGAGAGGGCAAAGTAGGTGGTGCCCATCTTCAACCCACAGAGCTGAGAAATAGATGCCCAGATGATAGGAAGGAGTCAACACAGTCACGCAAAGATCTGGAAGTTTCTGGTAGAAGCAGCAGCAACTGTGGGTCCCTAAAGGAAGGATAAGCTTAGGGATCAAGAAAGGTACAGCCCAGTGAACTGAGGCGTGCAGTAGGGAAATCTGAGAGGCAGGCAGTACCCAGATGGTGTTGGAACTTGTGGGCCACGTTAGGGGATTTCTGTGTGATGAGAGGCTGTTGACAAATTTTATGAAGGGGAGTGATATGATAGGATTTATAATATAATTTATGATGTGATTTATATGTTATGGCCATATAAATGTGAAATGTCTATTGGACACAGAATAGAAAATATCAGATAAGCAGGTGAGTAGACCTGATGGTGGCTTTGTGCAAAAATTGGGGAAATTAGAGTAGAAGCAATAATGGAGGAAGGGAAACCTATAGAAGTCCAGGTGCCAGAAGGCAATGTCCAGAGTTTTATGGCAGATGTGGAAACAGGCAGGTGACCAGCCTGGGGATCTAGTTTGGAAATGAAGCTGACAGGACCCACCTAACCTGTTGATGGGTTGAATGCATGGGCAAGGGGGGGAAGAAGGAAAATGAAGGAAGATTCTTTACTTCTGGGCCTGAGAACTAAATGATAATTTAGGTGAATGATAATGCAATCTAATTACCAAGATGGAAAGGACTGAAAGAAAAATGGGTTCTGATGTGGAATTGCAAGATGTTTGGCCATATAAATATAAAATGTCTATTGAACACAGAATAGAAAATATCAGATAAGCAGGGGAGTAGACCTGGTGCTCAGCAGAGAAAGTCTGACTGGAAACACAAGTATGAACCCTTGACATTTGAAGCTATAGGACCAGAAGAGAGGTGGATGAGAGGAGGAGAAGTCAGGAAAGATAGGACATAGTGACAGTGGCCACCTAGTTTCTACATAGATACTTGAATAAATGTCCAGGTTCACAGCTCCATGAGGCAAAGGCTTGCATTGTTGAAAAACTCCAAATTTTACTGTTTTATCACATATTTCATTCAAATCTCAGAACTTCTGAAATTTCTGCTCTAAAGAGGAAAAGAGAAAGCCTACTACTTCTTTGACAATGTCAGACCTCCAAATATTTGAGGACAGTCATTGTGTTCATTTAAAGTTGTCTCTTTTCCAGGGTCATTTAGTGAAATTTGATCTTTACTAGTCATTACTATGAGATTTCTAGTCCCTCAGTACTGGAATTACTGCAGTGGCATTACTTTAGTATATTAATGTATCTTTTTAAATGCCCAACCCTGAAATAAACTGAACACACATGTGAGATGACCAAAATGGAATATAGTGACTGTGCCCTCTTTTTTTTTTCTTAAAGCATTTTTATATTTATTTTTTAGGTATAGATGGACATAACACAATGCCTTTATTTTTATGTGGTGCTGAGGATGGAACCTGGGTCCTGCCCATGCTAGGCGAGCACTCTACCGCTGAGCCACAATCCCAGCCCTGACTGTGCCTTCTTTTGATTTAGACTTTATACTTCCATTTGTAACTTCTAAACTTGCAATGATTTTTAAAATTTCTTCTAATTAGTTATATATGACAGCAGAATGACTCATTGCACACAAATGGAGCATAACTTTTCATTTCTCTGGCTGTTTACGATGCAGAGTCACACCATTTGTGTGGTCATACATGCACTGATTTTTTTAAAAAAGATGCCTCAGCATACCATGAATCATAATTGGCTGTGACCAATTAATCAATTCAAAAATCTTAGGTATTTTTTATACCCACTACTGTTATAGGTTATCCACTCTCCTTCATTCTTTTTTTAAATATTTTTTATATTGTTGATGGACTTTTAGTTTCACTTATTTGTATGTGGTGCTGAGAATTGAACCAGTGTCTCACGCATGCTAGGCAAGCACGCTACCACTGAGCCACAACCCCAGCCCTCCTTTATTCTTTTGCCAAGTTGACTTTTTAAAAATCTAAATATAGAACTTGCTCTATTAATTTCATTTTCTTGATTCCAATTCAGCATTCTAGATTCCTCAAAATCCTTTGATTCATCTTGAATCTTGCCCTCTTTGAATTTGCTTTTGCTCCACCTAACATTTTGGAAATTATATTTGATTTTTCTTCATGTTGCCACGAGAAGTAATGGTGTTGAAAGGGATAGGCTCAAAGGCAGGATGTTGTAGCACATTACTATGCCTTGCCCCAGACAGATACCTGGCAGATTAAGGAACATCTTTTGGGTCTACTAGAACTCTACAGACTGTGCTATCATCTCTGGTTTTCTACTCAAGGACAACAGGAGGATTTGTTGAGTACTTCAATAAAATGAGAATACTCACTGGCTAGAACAGTATAGAATCTCTCTTTTTGGTGAACACACAGCTGTCTATTCTGAGTACTGATTTTTAGTTTTACTAATTCATTCTAGAATTTTTCTTGAAATTAGGCATTCAGCTCACCCAAAGATAAGTTCTAGAATCGATGCTTTCTTCCTATTTGAAAATTGGAACAGTTCCAGTTCAATATCAGGGAAGTCTTTCATTCTCTGAGATTTATTGGTGATCACCAAGAAGGCTTCTACATAAAATTGCAGGCAATTTCACCATCCCAGACTAGAACTCACCTAGATATAGGCAGCTGTAGTCACTTATGGCAGATTTCTTTCTTTTGTTCTTACTTATAGCTTTAATTCCCTCTACAATACTTATTTTGCCTTTTCTAATTTGAGGCCCTTTTACAAAACTCTAAGAAATGTTATTAAGTATCACCCCCATCTTACAGCTGGAAAACTGATACAAAGAAAGGTTAAATGACCTGGACAGGGTAGCTCAGTATGCAGAGGGTGGCAAGAGGAGTCCCTGACTCAGTCTGGAACTGTCCTTAAGATCCTTAGAATGATCTCTACCCAGCAATACGATGATGATGAGGAGGAAGCGAAGGAGAAAGATATATAATAGTTCTTGTTTCCTATGTCCAAGTAAGAATACTTTCTAGGTGCTATCTTATTTAATACCCAACAACCCTGTGAGGTAAGTACTGACATTTCCAACTTACCGATAAGGAAACAGGTTCACAGAGACAACATTTATGATGAACTCATATTGCATAAATGCCAGAAATGGACTCAAACAAGTCTCTCTGATTAACCATCAAGTTCTTAACTAAAATGGTATAAATTCTTTTGTTAGAATTATTCTAGCACTAAATCAAAATTTTAGAAGTCAAAGAGATCTGAGAGATAAGAGCTCATCAAGAATTTTCTTTTAGACTTTAATGTCAGACAAAAACAGATTACCTACCTAGTTTCTCTTTTTTGGTCTAACTACCAGGAAGCTCAGAGCCAAGTCAGAGTGAAAGTCAACCACAGAAGCCCTATCATTCCTCATGGATGACATGTTTTCTCTCTGTTCCTTTATATAATCCTGATTTCCAAGTGTAATTTAACAACTACATTTTGTGTGTGTGAGTTTGTGTGTTTGTGTGTGCGATTTTCTTTGCCATCTGCTTTCCCTTCATTTTAACAGCCTATGCCCTTACCACTTTGGTTGGAATTATGATAGCTCCTAGCTGATTGCCACATCTCCTCCTGTCTCTCTCCTCCTCAGTTGTTCTCTCACTAGATTATTGTGGCTGATCTTCACAAGATACAGTTCTGACTACATCAATCTCCTCGTTAGAAACATCAAGAGCTGGCCATTTCCTTTTGAGTCAGGGTCAAAACTGCTCAGAGCAGTCAGGACCTGGTCTCAGCCTCTCCTCCTACATTTCTTCTAACTGATCTTTCCACATATTAAGCTTTGGACACACTGTCTGATTCACTGCTTCCCCACCCACATTTTTCAGGCTCCTCTGTTTTTGTTTACATGGCTTCTTCTTCTTGCAGTCTTTTATCCTATCAACCTTGGGGCGGGGGTGGGGGGTGGTGTTTACCCATTCTTCAGTGCCCAGGCCAAATGCACTTTCTCTTAGTGACTTTCCATTATTCACTCTAGGAAGGATCAATTGTATTCTCAGTACTCTGACTTTAGTATTTTATGCAACTTTACTGGTATTTCTTAAATTGACTTACAGTTGTTTCTTTATAATTTTGACTACACCGATAGGCTGAGATGGATTTGTTTCATTATCTTTATACCCTCTGTGCTTATTATATGAAGTACCCAGAACAAAATAGGTACTCCTCTTTTAGAACCAATCAACCAGTACCACCTACTCCCCATTCATTAATAGATGTGATTTTCCTGAGATCCCCAAACTGAGGATTGTACAAGTTAGGTCTAGAACATCTGTCTTCCAGTATCCAAACTCCTATCCTGATGTTCTGTACCATAGTGACCATAGCACTAACTGCCAAAAAGTTATCTGGGGAAGTCACTGAAATATACATTTCAGGTCACCAACCCTAGAAATTCTAATTCTATAGGTCCATGCTAACATTTATTAAATCAAAATAATGACTTTTGTCCTTCATTTGTTTATTAGCATTAGATGTTGGTTACACTGGGGTTCAAGCTGATAATTTCAGACATTTTGAAATGTGCTGAAGATCTGTTACAGATCCATATTCACCATACACCTGAGTTTCTTAAGAGTATAAGAGGATGAATGTAAATGATACAGAGTAAAAATAATTTTTTATATACTTCAGGAGGGAACTATTGTTGATGATATGTAACCTAATAGCAGAAGAACTTTAAAGTTGTTACATTTCAATTTGTTTATTTTGCTTTTATACATCTTTGCCTAAAATGCTGCCCTCTAAATCTGATCATCACCTAGGTCCAACTACATAGTTTCAATTACTAGAGGGAGTCCATGTTGACAAAGACTCATTCTCTGGTGACATTGACTTGTAGCTAATGATTAGTTTAACTTTCCATTAAAATCGTGAATAGTAATGACAACACAAAAACTATCTTTGTAGATGGCAACAAACCTATAAATATTAATGTAAGAATTAGGAAAAGCTACTCAGTTAAATGGTCATGTTAGCTTCCAATATGTAAAATTGAAATCTTTATCCCCCAATAGAGTAGGTAGCCTATAAAGTAGGGTCTGACCAAGACTCCAGTTTAAAAAAGGAATGGTGTTAATCAAACACACTTATAAAGTAAAGTAATTAAAATATTTAGGTGACAAAAACTTTACCCACTTTAAAGTTTAAAAGATAACTTTAGTAGTTTAAAAATTAGTGCTGTTCATTGTTTAAAAGATTGAAAATATTTGTTAACTTAAGTGTTCTATTTCACTTTAACCATTAATTTTCTGAATCAGGATTCCTTCCTTTCTCCATCTTGCTCTTGAACATGGGCCAGCCCTTAGTTATACCTTTAAATCATTCATTATTAAAACTCATTCATTATGACACTTAAAATAAATCCCTGGAAATTTTATTTAATTGTAAGTTTTGAAATTTATACTTATTTTCTGAAATAATGTAATTGAGAAGGGAATGAACATATGACTTGAACAAGTCAAAGATCATACCTTCACCTATTATTTTACTATCATTTTATTACACCTATCTAATCCATTCAAAGGCCTGCTTAAGACAGTGACTCCTCTTTATGAATCTTGCTGGATAACTTACTTTGCCACGACAGCATTTATGTGAGTCCTCACAAGTCCCAGATATTGGTCAATCTGTGCCTACAAAGAGAGAAATAATGAGCATACCCAAAGACCCCATGTAGTCAAAATTTAACATGAATGTCTGACACCACAGAGAACTTACCTGGTGTTTGACATACACTACAGGTAGAGTAAACATTGAAACCACAGCTGGGATGAAAAACAAATGCAGTGTTAAAATTCTGAGAGTTATCAATAGTAATAAGTTCATAGATACATATTACATAGTCATGTGATATTGCAAAATTATTTGGAATAACTAGGATAACAGGGCAGTTATAAGGAAAGCAAAAGGATGCTGAGCCCTTCACACAGATGTGAAGGGCTGAATGAGGGTAGGCTGTGCCCTCTGAAGATGAAAATGCATCTCTATCCATAACTAGAACTTTAGAAATCAAATATAACCCATTATGGATGAAGGGGGGGAAAGCCCTTCAGACTTAGAAATTCACTGCTGATATATAATATGTAATAGATTCTTTAATTGCACTGTGATAGTAAGGAAAATGCTCTGTACTCAGGGATCTGGAATTTGTCTCTGGGGACTTATCAGAACAAGCTAAATGCTAACAGCCTAGGAAGCCCCCTATTCTCAGTGGGTGTGAAGGAAGTCACGATGCCCTCTTGTCCATCCTTACCCATGAGTAGCAGGGTCAGGCCATTGAAGAGGGCGCCAACGTAAGTCAGGAGCCACATCAGGACAGCAAACTGAAGAAAGAAAGGATGATCAGAGCTCCCGAAGCTGTCCCTGACAGACTGGAACCTCATATTGTTAATGTTTAGATTAGCATCAATTTTTCTAATTAGCATTTCAATTTTTTCTCCTAATTAGGATTTCTGATTAAAATTTTTGGGATTACAGTTATAGGTAATGGGAAATGAATGTCAATAGAATGATTTCAATAGGAAATGAGAGAGCGATAGGCGTTTTAAAGTCCGTCATGGGATCACCAAAAGAAGGTTGTCATTAGCTTCTTTGGAGACCTTTGGATAACGCTGTTATAACATTTGAGGGAAATGGTCTAACACCTGCTTCTGTATGGACCCATGATTTAAAAATGGTTTTTATATTTCTCAATGGTTAAATAAAATCAAAAGAAGAGAAAAAAATGATATGTTAAATGATATTAAATTCAATTTTAAGTGTCCATCAGTACAGTTTTACTGGTGCACAGTCACAATCTTCCACTGCTGTATTGTCTTTTCCTACTTTTGTGCCACAATGACAAAACTGGGTGGCAGAGCATTGCCTGCAAAGCCCCAAATATTTACTATCTAGTTCTTTGGAGAGAAGGATTGCTGACCCCTGCTGTAGCCCCATTTTTACATAGCAAATGGGAATATTACCTGAGAAGCTCTAGGACAGGTAATTATCATCTCCTGGTTTCTGCCTTTAGTAACTCCTATAAGTCACCATTCCTTTCAATTACCTCAAGGATCAAGAACACATCTCTCACTTTTCCTCTGCCCTTCCTTGAGCAGTTACCAGGCCACCCCTAGTGCAAGACCCCTGCCAGGGTGTGTACAGAATACACATGGAGGACAGAGAACTCAGAGACCTTGTCCTGGCTACCTTGACTCTGCTCACAGCCTTGCTGAATCATGATGAGTTATCACTAGAGTATAAAGCCCAGGACCCAGGTCCTCACACACACTATTTAGAGCCTACTTCTGCCCTTCAGATGGCTCTGCCTCAGGACACTCAAGAGATCTATCATTAGTAGAGTCCAGAGTTTTTTTCAATGAAGAAGTATGTGTGTATTTTTATATTCCCGAAACTAGATTTTTATTTTAAAATTAATTTTAGAAAATTGGGAGAGGAGTCAAAAATGGTTTAAGGACAGACATTCTGATATACTAAAAAGAACAGAATTAGTTGTATGATCTTGAGTTCATCCTAGCTCTGCCAGACGAGTGGGCCACCTTGGATAAGTGTCTTAACCTCTCAGAGACAGTTATGTTTTCTGTAAAATGAAGGGATGGAGTCCATGATTCCATAGATTAGGAGATTTTCTGACTCTAGAACTACGTAATCTTCCCCATAATGTGGCAGTTTTAATATTTCACTTCTAGAGGAAAACAAAAACTTAAGATCATAAAGCAAAGGGCTTAAGGCAACATACTTTTAAGGAATCCACCAGGTCCTGGACCAGGAAGAGCCTCCGGAGCTCTTTCAGTGTGCTGTTCACATAGAGTTGCAGGCAGTCCGTGTACTTCTGAATCTGTTCCTGGGACAGGGTGATCTCAAGCTCCAGGTAGGCCCTGTCAACAGACCATAGCATCAGAGAACCCCATCAGAGGGACGGCACACAGGCAGGTACATCCCGGGGCCAGGTGAGTGTTCCTTCTCTCATCTGAGGCAGTGGGTGGCCAACTCTAAGGGTCATGTCAGTGGCTAAAGGGCACCATACTCTCTGGCTTCCTGTGCATAGGGAACACACGAACAGGGGTGGGAGAGCATTATGACTGTTTCTGTCACTGAAGATAGCATTACAGCCTGAGCTGATAATTCACAGAAACTGGCTGGGACTGGAGGGAAAAAACCAATGCAAAACAGCTCATTTGCTAAATTCTACATGACTGCATGGAAAGCATAGTCTTCTTTAAATAATTGAGCTATTTGAAAATCCTAGCTGCCAATTATTTTTCCTCATTAAAACTCTGAAGAATGCATGTTTAAATTCTGTAATTTATTTCCAAGTTTATCTAGGGAGCACTGGAAACTCAAGAGACCTGGATCATATTAAAATGCTCATTGGTTCTAGTGAATGGTACTTTTAGAAATGGGATTTTTAATTTGTTAAATTTAACTCATGGGTTGCTAAAATATATCAAATGCAATATATTTACTTATAAAATAAAAATATATTAAAAACCCAACCTAAGGTTCCTCTGCTTGGCCATGCTTCTGTGCAGAGGTCCAGCTGCCCTCTCGTTTCCTGCCTCTGCTCTTTCAAGAGGGCACTTTGCCTTCTTAGAGGGAAACTGTTGGAGTTCTTAAAGGCCTGCTTAACTCTGGGACTGGAGAAGAAAAGGGCAAAGCAACTCTTGGCCTGAGATGTAAGGAATGTTGTGGACTGAATGCTGTGTCCCCTCAAAATTCATATGCTGAAATTCTCACCTCCAGTGATGGATGGAGTTATGATGTGGGGTCTTTGGTAGGTGCTTAGGTTAAGAGGAAGAAGCCCTCATCAAAGGGACCCCTGAGAGCTCTTTTACCCTCTTCCTGCCTTGTGAGGACGCAATCAGAAGACAGCAGTCTGCAACCCAACCATGTGGGCTTCTGGTTTTGGACTTCACAGCCTCCACAACTGTGAGAAATAAATTTCTGTGTTTAAGCCACCCAATTTATAGTAGCCTGAACTAATTCAGGGAGTTTACAATTAAATGCGATGGCTCTTCTTTCCTTTAGAAAAAAGAAAGAAGGAAAACGAAAAATAGTGATCTGTATAGATACTGTGTTCTGATTCAAAATATTCTGAGTCAGATGTTCCTTTTAATGATCAAAATGACTCAGCCAAAGGAAATTTTAATATTTTAAATCTGTCCTCTGAAGGAAGCATAACCAGGTATGAGAGGAAATAAGTCAAATGAGAGCTAAGTCCCCCATGTGATAGCCTGGGAGCCAAGAATGTGGTGGGAACAGCGTGGTTGAACATACTGAATGTTGGATGATGAAGGGAGAGACTGGGACAGGGAGAAGGATGAAGTTGTGGACTGGTTACCAGTGAGGTCCACTCAAGTAGGTGTTGTGTATGCCAATTGTGTGGCCCGGCTATAGCCCCAGCATTAGAAGGACAATAACACTGTAACCCACATGGTAACACTGTCTGACACTGAGTCAGGAGAGGCTGGGAAGAAATGTCTGAGAGCAGCCTTTTCCCTTTGTCCACAGCACCTGCAAACGGGCATCGTTTTCCCTGTGAAGACCCCAGTGCACTGAAGCCTTGGTGAGGGAGAGCCAGGACACATACAGAGATGACATCAGTGAATACCCAGGGCCATTCAGAAGCCATTCTGCAGTAGCATCTACACATCTCATTTAGGACTCAGAACTGTCCCTTGGTTGGTTACAGAGGTGAGGACAACCTTGGTGAACTTGCATTCTGGGGCCAGCCAGCAGGTGAGGGGGTGGTACTGATGGCCAATGCTCTGAGTGTCCTGGTTTACAAGTCGGAGGACAAACTTTGGTGGAGCTGGGTGGATGCTGCTGGCCGGGCTAACACTGCCCTCTGCCCCCTTGCATGTGTCCTCTTTCTTAATAGATTGCCTCCCTTTAAAAAAATTTCCTTCTTTTTGATATTCATTCCAATTATATTTCCCCAGTAGAAAAATTCAGAGGAGGACATATGATAAGATGTTCATGAGCCTTGGACCCCTCAGATGGTTGGCCCTTTGGTCTTAAATTTCCAGAGACAGCATGGAAATAAAAACCAAACACCCTAGCTCTGGTTCTGTGATATTTACTGGACATGTGACCTTGAGAGTGTCATTTTGCTTCTTAGAACTTCAGTTTTTCCACCTGTAAATAGAGATTATAATGTCTGACCAGCCTTCTTTATAGAGTGGGGAGAATTAGTAATTGATGGAGTACTCTTTCAATGATAAATTATTATACACATATAATGGATTATGATTACTATTGGTAATTAAAGTATAAAAACTCAACAGCAATAAGTATTAGAATAAGAATAAGGAAGTTTGTTTCAGAAATCCACCAACAGTGTTAGATAGTAAAGCCAGGGTATTAGGTGAGACTCTAGAAGGTCTGTTGGGTCTCAGAGAAACATGCCCCAGTGCACCCGTGGGTTGGAGTGGGGGCAGAGAAGGAGCCTGGGAAGGCAGGGTTTGCTGGGCAGGTGGGGACACTCACTTGAAAGGGTGGCCCTCGTCGGTTTTCTGCACAGCTTGTAGGACAGACTTGTAGATGCGGAAACTGATGGTGGCTGAGAGCGCAGCCAAGGCCAGGTAGGCCACGACGCTCACCACGCTGAACTGGGTCAGGGAGAAGAGCAGCAGCAGGAAGCTCCCAAACACGATCCCAGTCTGCTTGATGTCCCGCCAGTACAGCAGGTCGATAGCTGTGGGGAGGGGACACAAACACACACACCACTGAACTCTAGCAGTGCCAGAAGTAAGCTGCTGGTTCTGTCCACCCAGCTGCCAGTACAGCAGGTTCCCACTGGGCATTTGGATTCCTAAATGCAAGCCAGTGGACAGATGGCTGCACCGAAGGGCACTTACTGACACTCCATTTCAGTTTGGAAAACTCTTTTCCATTGCTGGGAATAGTTCACAAATTCACAGAGAAGACTCCAGTCACCATCTCTCTATGGGTATATTTCCGTGGGCTACAGCATCTATTCAGAGGCTTGAATTATCTGGCTTTCAAATAGAGGATTCTGTGAAGTACCTGACATCCTGTGGACGTCATTGATTATGTGCACATCTTCATGACCTGCTGACAATTTTATGTCTCAGTGACAGCCTGTAGATATATGCATCGGTCATACAAAAAGGTCAATGCTGATCATAAAGGGCAGCAATTATGAAAATAGAGGTTTGGAGGGAGTGGTATTTTTGGAACACAGAGAGAGGTCTGCAAGACCTTGGCCTCTAAAACTGCAGGGCTAGTGGCTGTCTTGACAAACCCTGGAGCTGATATTTGGATTGAGCTTTTGCACATGATTTGTTTGCTTACATTCTATGATTTGAAAAGCCAGGAATGCAAGCTTTAAAATCTATATCATATCTATCATTCAGTTATCATTATCTTTCAATGTATAAACAAAAAACTAAGTTCAAAAGGATAGAGCTAACCAGGTGTGGCTGCACATGCCTGTAATCTCAGCAACTCGGTGGGCTGAGGCAGGAAGATTGCAAGTTCAAAGCCAGCCTCAGCAATTAGTGAGCTCTTAAGCAACTTGGCAAGATCCTGTCTCCAAATAAAAAAGGAAAAAAAAAAAAGGGCTGGGGATGTGACTTAGTAGTAAAGAACTCCTGGGTTCAATTCCAGTACCCAAAATAAATAAATAAAGCCATGCTTCAAATTTGTAATACAAATGGAAATATTTTGAATATTTGAGTTACCAGGATATGAAAAAAGCATGCAAGCCTTACTGAAGAATCTCTGCAAGTTCATTATCCTATTAGGCAAGTAGCAAATGGTCTTTATAGAATGTCATATCAATTCTCCAGATGAGAAAATAAGAAACAATTTTCCCATATGACAGTCAGATGTAAGCTGTAGTGGCTTAGACTGTCAGCTTCCCATGCTCTGTACCTGGAAACACCTGGTTTGGATTTAGATTCCAGTCATTTGCTCAAGGGAAAAACAGAGAGATAACCATGTTGAAGAAAGCAGGGAGCACAGTGGCACATACCTGTCCCATTATTCATGAGTGTGCAGTTAGCTGAAAGAGCCATACAGGTTGAATATTCCTTGTCCAAAATGCCTGGGACTAGAAGTATTTTGGATAATTTTTGGATTTGGAAACAGTTGAATATACATGATGAGATATCTTGGGGATGTGATCCAAGTCTAAACATGAAATTCATTTATGTTTTATGTACCCCTTATACCCATAGTCTTGAAGGGTAACATTAGATGCTATTTTTAATATTCTGTGCATGAAATAGTGTCATGGTGTGGAATTTTTCACTTGTGTGGTTGCATTGACACTCAAAAAGTTTTGGATTTTGTATTTTTCATTTAGGGTTGTTCAATCTGTATTGTTGTCACAAGCCTTAGTGACAGTCCAAGGCTAAAGACATACCCTTCACATAGAAACCCCTTGCTCACAGCAGGCTTGCCTCTGGCTGGTTGGGTGCAGATCAGGAGTTGAGAAATGAGAGGCTGTTTATAATAGGCTGAGGACATCTCTGGCAGTATGAAGCTGGGAAGAGAATTTATTCCCTATCCACCACCACTGTGTTCCACCAAAGACATTAACTCAAAGATTCTAGTAGGCAGCCATTGTTGGGCAAAAACATGGTTTCTTTTTTCCTACAGCACTTCTGCAATGTATAACATAGAGGAGAGGAAAGGCTTGCAAGCATGTTTTGGAGTGGTAAAAATATATATATATATATACACATAAATATATATGTAAATATATATATATATATATATATATATATATATATATATATATATATTTATAATATTTTTTTCTCTTTTGAGGAAGGCCAATCTTACATATAGGTTTCCAGAGACCAAGGAGAGTATTGCTTCTCTAAAGCTTCTCTCTTCTGCCTGCCCCAATTACCAGTCACACTGACTATTAGAAATTCATTCCTTTGAATAACCCCTTTTCTATCTTCAAAGTGGCTGTCATCATCATGATCTTTATTTAATGCAAAAGATGCAGGAATAAGACAATATTAAAGATTTGCTTGTCAACAATACAGTTCAAATGAGTTCACCAAAATAATTCTCCTTTTAAAAGAGTTTATGAGGACAGAACATCAAAATATAATCGTTTTGGCTGGGCGCAGTAGCACACGCTTGTAATCCCAGCGGCTCTGGAGGCTGAGGCAGGAGGATCACGAGTTCAAAGCCAGCCTCAGCAATGGTGAGGTGCTAAGCAACTCAGGGAGACCCTGTTTTTAAATAAAATAGAAAATAGGGCAGGGGATGTGGCTGAGTGGTTGAATGCCCCTGGATTCAATCCCCAGTACCAAATAATAATAATAATAATTTTCAGGCAGATGAGAGGATCTTTTGGAAGATATACCTGCAGTAAACCTCTGGACCCCTGAAGAGAAAGGATAGAAGGGAAGAAGAGGGATTTCCACAGAAGCCTGGGGTTGAGTAGGTCCAGAGGCAGAGGTGAAAATGGGCCTCGGCCTAGGTTTAGACCAGCAATGCTAAAGGACTTTGGGAACCTGGAGTCTCTAGTATTTACTCTGTTTGGTGCAAGAGGAGAGGCAAATGGGAATAAATAAGAGAATGAAACACCACTGTTTAGAGGTATCACTGAACTGTGTCTTCCTATACACTTACTTACTGAACCAGTATTCACTGATCAAGAACTAAGTGCCTGGTTTTGTGCCAGTGTTAAGGACATAAAAATAAATGAATTCCAAAAAGCAAAAAAATACATGCAAATAAATAAGAAATAAATTGTAATCTGTTTTACAATGCCCACAGACTCAGATGGCAAGCATATCTGGAAGTCAATGCATGAGAAGGCAGCATGATTTTTGCTGAAGGGGGTACCCTTAGTGCTGGGGGAGGTGGCTTACCCACCTGTGATACATGCAGGGGGACAGGAAACCATACAAATAGTTTTCAGACAAAGAGGAGACAGAATTAGCTGTTTTCAAGCTAATTCCCACTGAATGGATTGCCTAACACCTGCCAACAATGGCATAACTTCTAGAAAAGCCTTCTACAACTCTAGTCACCTGTTCAAAGAGCTGAGAAGGTGGGCACCCAGTTTGGGCTCTCCTGGAAGACTCTGTGGGCAGAGAGGTTAGCCAAATCACATTAATTTGGTGAAGAGTCATCATCTATCTCCCAGCGAGGCTTCCAAACAATTTGTGAAGTTCAAAGAGTCTTTTACTTAGGAGCTTAACAGAAGAATTACCTTAAGGCAACGGGCGGTGGATTCTGGGTACTCTGTGACAAGATTATCTATTTACACAAACTCTGAAATGTTCAAAGCATTTGCATATATGGCCTCATTTAAACTCCAAGATGAACTTCATTAGACTGGTAATCTATCAAGTCAGGAAGTTAAAAGTTAAAAAACTTGTATACTGACTAGGTAATACAAGAAGCCCAACCAACTCCTAAATTTTATGCTTCTCTCCTACTGTATGTTAAATGTCCCCAAAAGTTATGCAAAATTGATTTTGGACAACTTGATTATATTTAAAACTGCCTTCGGAACTAGCTATTTAAAGGGAAATTCTTTTAAGTGAAAACTAGTCATTACCCATAGTTATTGATCATCCATGATCTAGGAAGCATAAGAATCAAGCAATCATAAAATGATGCTCCTTTTTAAGGGAACTTAAGGTAAAAACTGGAATCATCAAACACTCATTCAAAGAAAGCTTGACTTGATGCCAATATGTTTTGTCTTGTCAATGGTGGCAAAAGTTGAATTTGGATGGAGTGTGCTGAAATTGATGAGGGAAGAGGGCATGGGATGGTTTATAAACATGAGGAATAATTGGTAAAGGAGATGGGGTGGATAAAAGGAAATATTATAAAGGATTAGTTGACAAGAATGGTGACTAATTAGCTGGGGAAAAAAAGGAATCAGATCTCATTAAGGGTGAAAGCAGCATTTCAAAGCCTGGTGACTGAGAGATTAGCATCACCGGAAAAATTAGGGAATTTGAGGGTGAACTGATTTGGAGGAAAGATGACACTTGTTTTTAAACCAGATTCTGACATGATGACATGGAAGCCAGGCATTTTTACACAACCTGGGGCAGAGATGAGATAGCAATTACGGATGCATTAAGGCTGATAATTACACACCATGCTAACTAATTTTTTAAAAGCCTGGAACTTAAATGACTTTTTTTTTTTTTGGCTTTATCACAGTATCCCAGAGTTAAGATGGTCCTTAATGTCACAAGTCTATTAAAATTCAGATGAATTTGTACACTAGGCAACTGGAAATGTAGGACTGAGATTTGGTAAATGGGGTAGAATGTTTCCATTTGGATGTATTTGGGGTAGAAATGATTGCAGCCACAAGTGTGGAGGAAATCTCCAATGGGAGGCTACAGATGCAATTTAGGATGAAACCATAGAAAGTCCTTAGTGTTAGAAAGGGCAATCACAGTAAGTAGGTTAGAGCAGCCAGGAAGAAGAAATTTTCTAAAGGGTTAGCAAGGAACACTGAATTTAGAGCCAGCAGAGAGCAGTGTTAGGAGGAGTGGGCGTGGGAGCCCACTGTAAGGGGTTGCGAAAGTGGTGGGAGTTAATTCACAATAATAAAGAAGATCTGGTGAGTAGCAGCAACAGGTAATCCTTCAGTTTGAGCAAAATCTGGGAATGTTGGTGCAAAGGGAGGGGCGAGGATTCTGGAAAGAGAAGATATTTGATTAAAGCAAAGTC